TTTACTCATACTAATGCATATGTATATAGATGTACATACATTTATTAATATGCGGCTGCAACAAAAATAACTACTACTACAACAACAACAACAACAACCACAACAATCGCCATCAGCCATGAGAAGCACGAGAATTTCGCATAAATTTACTTGGGGTCTGTGCAAAGAGAGCTAACTCGAAGTCGAGCGGCAAAAAATAAGCTAACTCGCGCCGGGCACTTGAGCAACAAGTGCGATATAAAGTTAATGTGCTCAGCGATAGGAACTTCAAAATGCCTTACATATACTAACTGGCAGTCGAATCGTACAGAATTTTTATGAATTTTGTATATGTGAAATCTTTGCGGTTTTCAACATGTGAATAATGTTAGGGTACATTCCCTTCTTAATGTCATGCAAAAATGGTGTGTAAGGTGGCAACGCTGCGTCTTTAAGTTCACACTTTTAACGAAAAAAGTTTGTTATGGATATTGATAAAAAAGCGCTTTTCTTGCGCATTCAGATGTGAGTCTAAACAGTTGACATTAGGTTAAATATCTGAAAACAGTCTGGCAACCCTAAAAGCAAATTAACCTCGGCAATTTAATCTTCCAATTACACTTGGCTCAAGTAATTTTAAAGTTCAAATTCAACTTCTACGGGTCCTGTCAGAAGTATGCCAAATATTTATGAACTACAAAAATACTTTTAATTTTTACAAAGCAGTCAAATGTCAGCTATATTCTGTTTAGCGTTGCCATATTAGCAATGCAGTGCAAGGTGGCAACGCTGCAATGATTTATTATAGCTTAAAAGTTGATAGATTACACCACTAACCAAAAAACATATAGACCGGACATGCAGAGTAAAATAGGTGGTCTCCAAAAATTGGTTTGCATCTGGTCCAACGAGCGAGTAAAATATACATATGACATCTTTTGATCGCTCACACTACAGGAAACTCCTTTGGCTTACTCTCTTCCATATGATTTGTGCGATAGAACGGCATCGCTGTTTTTTATCTCGCTCCCACTACAGGAAACTGCTTTGGCTTACTCTCTTCCATATGATTTGTGCGATAGAACGGCATCGCTGTTTATTTTTATCTCGCTCGCACTTACTCTCAGTGCTCTCAATGCTCTCTTCATGTCTAGGTACCGTTTAAATGTTTGTGTGTGCATGTGGCCGCACAAGCAAAAATGCCCACAAATTCAATTTTTGTCAAAAGTCGGTGGCATTTCTTCCCTTTTGAGGGGACGAGTAATATGAAATCATGAAAGGGTTTGCCAAGTCGATGCGAAATTCTTTCATTTTAGCTCGGTATTGCTGGAAAGGGTACCTAAGCGTTGGCATGTGTGCATTTAAAAGTTTTTGGACTTGCTATTCACGCATACTTGCATATTTTGTATATGAATAGAAACATTTATGCGCATGTGTGCCTGTTGGTCCCTGCCTGCCTGTCCGATCCAAATTTGACAATATTTTTGGACTTCTGAATTTCGAGCTCTGCGCATACACACACACAGACACAAATGTGTGTGAATGGGCAGATCATGGGCGCAAAAGAAAATATCATTTTTGGCCCGCGGTTGTCGCGCACCCTTCTTTTTATGATTTTGGGGTTGAATCGATGAAAAAATGTTGACCCCTGCAGCAGCCCGTTGGGTGGAAAGGGTAAAATTTTGCCAAGCACCTGTACCTGCATATTTGGGTCAAGTGACTGATCACTTAACTAGTTTTAAGAAAATTGTGTAAAAAATAAAATCTTTAAAATATTCAAATATACCAAATACAAAATAGGAGCAATTATATATTTATAGTATTCATAATTTTATTGTCTTTAAATATTTAGCTTTTTCATATATGAATTGGATCTGCAGGTATTGAGGGGTCAACATTTTTTCATCGATTCAACCCCAAAATCATAAAAAGAAGGGTGCGCGACAACCGCGGGCCAAAAATGATATTTTCTTTTGCGCCCATGATCTGCCCATTCACACACATTTGTGTCTGTGTGTGTGTATGCGCAGAGCTCGAAATTCAGAAGTCCAAAAATATTGTCAAATTTGGATCGGACAGGCAGGCAGGGACCAACAGGCACACATGCGCATAAATGTTTCTATTCATATACAAAATATGCAAGTATGCGTGAATAGCAAGTCCAAAAACTTTTAAATGCACACATGCCAACGCTTAGGTACCCTTTCCAGCAATACCGAGCTAAAATGAAAGAATTTCGCATCGACTTGGCAAACCCTTTCATGATTTCATATTACTCGTCCCCTCAAAAGGGAAGAAATGCCACCGACTTTTGACAAAAATTGAATTTGTGGGCATTTTTGCTTGTGCGGCCACATGCACACACAAACATTTAAACGGTACCTAGACATGAAGAGAGCATTGAGAGCACTGAGAGTAAGTGCGAGCGAGATAAAAATAAACAGCGATGCCGTTCTATCGCACAAATCATATGGAAGAGAGTAAGCCAAAGCAGTTTCCTGTAGTGGGAGCGAGATAAAAAACAGCGATGCCGTTCTATCGCACAAATCATATGGAAGAGAGTAAGCCAAAGGAGTTTCCTGTAGTGTGAGCGATCAAAAGATGTCATATGTATATTTTACTCGCTCGTTGGACCAGATGCAAACCAATTTTTGGAGACCACCTATTTTACTCTGCATGTCCGGTCTATATGTTTTTTGGTTAGTGATTACATATATAGACTCGAAGAGCTTAAAATGAAGGCGTTGCCATATGTCGATGCAGAACTAGGTGGCAGCGCTGCAGTGATAGCTTTATCTTTGATCGTGAAATTCGTGTCCTGAACAATTTAGTTAAGAAACAAAACAATTTAATATGAAATAGAAATATGTTTGAAGTCAGTTTTGTCGCGTAGTTAAAAGAACAAGTCAAAGGGGTTGGAAGAGAACTGAAGACTTGCCATTTTTTTTGTTGGTAATTCGGTAAACTTTAGCAGCACTTGGGAGTAAAAGTTGACTTGAAAGAGTATTAAAACTTTGCTCATAGAAATCATGGAAATTAGTGTGCTGCGTCATTTGGTGAGAATAGCCGCAAATGTGGTAGGCCACAGCGGAATTAGGCGGAAGCAGCAGCCGCAGTCAGTGACAAAATAAAAAGAGAACCCACAAAAAATATAAGCTAAAGAGTTGATAAAACCGAACAAAGCAGCTGAGCAAAGCGCTTGTAACCAAACCGAACCAAACTATCGTAAGTAGTCATCAAAGCATTTTGTGACGTTTTATTGTTTCCGATAAAGAAGCAAACTTATGAACTATCATGCGAACTGATGGCACATTCACAGATCGAAAGAATAAAAATCATATTTATATATACATATATGTATAACGAGGCTGGCTGCCCCATCCCCCATCCCCCCCCGTCCGTTGACATGTCGTAAAATAGCTGACAACAAGTGACAAAACTCATTTGACTTCCGAACTTTCAAACATCGATTTTAGTTTATTACCCTGCCACACAATCGCTCGCCGCCTAGCCCACACCCTGTAATCCGTTCTCATAATGAGTTAAGGCTACAAATTATGTGCATGCCGCACAAGCTTAGCCCCGGCTTCAGCGATCAATTGAATTGGGCATCGGAACTTGTGAAAAGATTCTAAAGAACAAACATTAAAAAAAAAAAATAGAAGAAAAAAAATGTGTGCCCACGCCCAAGTTCCGAATTGCATTGCGTAGGCTCCAGCATTTTGTGAATTGGATCTGAATTATCACGCCCAAGGATTGAATATAGCCGAGATTAATGCCCAGCTACCTGGGTGGCACCTGGTCTGCCGCCAGTGGGCCGTAAGCTGGAAGAGCTCTAAACGCTGCTTTGTCCAATTGAACAAACGCCTCCACAAAGCTCAAATGAGCTGAACAATTGGCTTACGAAAGCTACCAAGCAGCTGATTAGCGTATGAATAGTTGTGAATGCATTCAAATGAGTCTTGAGCGCATTCGTGTGTTTAATAAAGTGTGCTTCACACAGAATTCCACCCGGATAGCTTTTCCTTTGAGCTCTCTACTAAATCCAAACCGTCTGCAGTCCAAGTCGAAGTACAGTGTTTTGATCAAACGGATGCCGGCTTGAACTAGTTGTGAATTTGTAATTCGATTGTTGGTTGGATTCAGTGCTTCAAAGTGAATAAAAAAGATACTTTATTGGGCATATTGGGGGATAATATTATTAAATGAAATTAAACAAGGCCGATTCCTGAAGGTGCACATTTCAAATTATAGAGTAACTAAAACGATTATAAAATATATAAATATAAATTATATTTAAAATATATTTATACTATAAATATACATATATTTAAATATATTTATATAAGTTTTTATTTGTATTTTTTTTATGTGCCTGTTATTTTGTTTGCTTGGAAACATGTTGGAAATAAATAAATACAATTTTATTGTCATTTCATTTTAATTTTATATGAAATGTATGTAGTAGATGTATCCTATTTATAAATTACTCTACTTTAATTTCCAATAAAATTATTACATTTATTTCCCACTTCGATTATAAAAACCAAAGATAATGAATCCCTCAATTATTCTCTTAAGATCTTTGGAATTGTTGTACTTTATGCAAGCTATATTTTTCATTTCTATAAATTGCATCAATTTTTTCTGCTTTTCTTTATATTATTTCCATGTGTTTCTCTTTTTTTATCTGCCTTTTCTATTGTCTAAGCTCCATAAAACTTTGCATTTCTTGGGACTGTGTGAGATTAGATTAGGCATTAATTGTTAAGGGACTCTGTAGGTAAGACTGTAAAACTGGTGTTTTGTGTTTTGTGTTTTGAGTTAAAAAAGTCCCCAGTAAAACGAGTTGGGATGCTTTAGGAAGCCTGACATGTGATTGTGTTGTGAGCTGCCAGACTGCTCAAAGTTTCAGAACAAAAGGAGTAATATTATATAAGGGGGGAGTATTCCCAGGACTTTCAATGTGTAAACGTAACTGGATAAACAAAATATGTTCAACCTTTTCTTTTTGTCATCAAAGTTGGCATTGCAGGCAGGAAAATTCGCTCAGCTGCTAAAGCCCACAATTTGGCTCAGTATACACAACGTACCCAAACAGTAAACAACATTTTGATAGCACTCTCTTCAAAAATAGATTATTGTTAAACATTAAATGAATATATTTATATCTTTGCGGGGTAAGTACGGAAGTGTAAATAAAACGGATAGTAAAAGATATTCCTGCTTAGGAAGTGTACAAAAGTAGACATGAAATTACGCAGCGGCCGGGAAATCAACAAGGGGCCGAGTCATGGTTCTGGCAACGCTGCTGATGATGGCAACGCTGGCGGCAGTGGCAACGCTGCCGTCAATGACGATGGCCCCAGCTGCTCGAATTTTGGTGTCAATGGCCAAGTGATCAAAAGACGTCCAGTTCGTCGCATCACTCACATTGGCCCACAGCAAATGGCCCTGATAACCGAGCGTCTGCTGAATGGCGTGCCAGCTGATGGCCTGTCAGCTGCCGAGAGCCTGGAACAGGAACAGTATTCAAATCTGAGTTCGAATCCAAATGCGGATGTGGAAATGGGCATTGTTCAGCTGTTGCCAAACCAGGTGGCCCGAAGGACCAGAAAGAAGGCTAGGATTATAACTAACAGAAATGCTGCTGCCGGCCAGCCAGTTGACAGCGTGGCTGAGGTACGGAGTGAGTCCGGTAGCCACCCGGCCGAGATCGTCCAGCCAGCGGCAGCAGCAGCAGCAGATGCAGCGGCGGGGACTGTTACTGTTGCTGTGCCCAAGAAGAAACGTGGAGCACGTCGCAATCAGAAACCGAAGCGTTTGCCCACCACAAGGCAGAGCATGCGCTTCATTAAGCACTTTTTGGCCCAGTGCGAAAAGAATCCGACTTGCAATCGCCAGCACCTGGCCGAGATTGTTGATATTGTAATCCGTTGGCCCCCAATCAAGGCCCCAGCTCAGCCGGATAATGCTGCGAATGCGCCGGGTTTCGCATCAGCTAATTGCGCCGCAATTCCAGTGGATGACGATGATGAAAATTCGGATGTTGTGACAGATCCACCGACTCCACCCAACACTCCGTCCGACTCTCAAGATTCATAGCTGCAAAATTATAAAGTTCTATATATATATATATATATATATATATATATATTGTGTATATATGTATAATACCCCCCACCGTTAATTAGTTTTCAATTTGTTTGGGAGTTACAATTTCAAATGGCGCGTGAATGCGAGGATCAAGCTGAATTACAGCGGCTCAAAATTTTGTTGATTCCCATTTTTTTTTGGATGTTTGCGTACAAATTTTGCTTTCTCCAATAATTGCTTGTGCGTGTGTTTTGTCACAAGTCAAGCGGAAACGGTTTCCAATAAATAGTGTGTGAATAAGAGTCAATCAATTAGAAAATTACCATCGGGAAGCTACATGGGCTAAAGGAAGCGAAAAAAGGTCAAGAAGTAGCTTTTAAATGAAATGATAAGAGATTTGTATGCTTTGTACACGGAAGAACACTTTATATATATAATATATCTGGGATATATATGTATATATATGTATATATATATATATATATATATATATGTATTGACTCGGCTCTTTTCGCTGAAGAACACTTCGTACTTTGTGTGAAGCAAGGGAACGCATTTAAGTAATGTATTTTGAAGCAGTACTTTAAAATACGACATCCTGCATACCAAATTGCAAGGTTCTAGCTCCTTTAGGCGCCGAGAAGTACTCAAAAAGCCGAGGCTTAAAATCGGTACTTTATATATATAAAATATATATATACTGAATATACGATCATATATATACAATCATATGTTCTTGATCAGCGCAAAGAGCCGAGTCAATCAAGCCATGTCCGTCGGTCTGTCTGCCTTTGTATAAGTGTCGATTCTCTCACATGCGTAACTTACGATTTGTATATCGTCCTGCTTCTCGATATATGTATATATAATCTTATTCGATCTAAGTCCGTCTGTTTGCCTGTTAAGCCCAAGCTTATAAAAACTAGAACCTTTAATGTTGGTATGTAGATAAGGTAGGGTTGCAAAATATTCCATTTAAACGCGTTCCCTCGCTCTTCCAGCCTTTTCTGTTTTCAATAAATATCGATAAATATCGATAAATATCGGTAATTATCAGCAGGGGACGTCTTACTAAAGCGTATTGCGGCAGGTTTTACCTAAAATTTCATACGCCACAAAAGCTTATCTTATCTCTTATTCTTTTTTTTCCTAATTATTTTATTCATGAGATTTGAGTCTCTTTAGTTATATGAAATTTGAATTATGTATGAATAAGCAAGGACTTCACTCAAAAGTGATTAAGGAATTAATTTTCTCCAATAACTTTTCTCCAAATCGGTTAGTTCCATTTTTGCTGCGCAACAAACGAAAATAAAAACAATAAATAAATAAAAATAAAATATTACATTGATATACAATTTTGGTATTTAAATATATATATATAAATATCGGACCTCGAGTCAGCTAAACAAATATTTATATTTAATTTATTTACAGTTTATTTACCTCAAAATGATAGAGAAATATAACAATTAATTCTTGTGTATAGAGTATCCTCTTGCAGGGCACTTTTCCTTCTGTTGGATTAGGAATTGATTTGAAAGCATTTGCTTAATAGGTTTTCAAAAATGGCTTGCCCAGTTACTTGCCACCAGTCCACTCAGTCCACACAGACACACGCCACATGTGGCAGCAACTGAAAGAAATGCAAAAAATTTCATAATTGTTGCTGTTGTTGCTGTTGTTGCTGTGGCAGGCAGCCTGGCTGGCCAGCTGGAATTTGGAGTGTTTAGCATGGTAAATGTTGCGTTTATAAATTTAAAAACCTATAATAAAGTCATTTGCTCAGGCCATGTGCAACAGGCGGTTGCTGGTTGCTGTAGCTGCTGCTGCAGGCAGTTGGGCAAATTTTGCTCAGAGAGCAGACGATGAGCAAAGACGACGCTGACGACAGGCAACAGACAGGCAACAGGCGAGCAGAAAAGGCGGCAAGTGCAGCAGCAACTGGCAACAGCAGCAGCAGCAGCAGCAGCAGCAACATGTCGCGCTGATTATTGTGTTCAATTTTAATTTGTGCAACATTTTGTGGCCAAAATTGTTTCTCCTTTTTGCTGCATGTGTGTTGCTGTTGACAATTGCCTGATGCGGCGCTGATCTGATTGTTGTTGCTGCTGCGGCAGCAACTGTGTTGCTGTTGTTGACAATTGTATCTGCATCTACACGGGCACTCGCTCTGATTGCCACTTTCTATTAACCGTTTGAACCATGTCAAGAACTAAATATCGAGTGCATTCGATTGTGTTCACGAGTGCGATTTGAATAGCGATTCAAAAGATTCGAATCGATTTGTTTTGTTTCAAGTTTTTAATCTTGTTTTAATTAAACGCTTATAACAATTTCACACATGGCGCAGCGTTTAACGAGCGACAACCCACACACAAAACCCAAATACAATTTAATGAATGTTTAATGCAAAATACATTTAAGAAATATACAATACAATAATCAACAGAAAATAATAATAATAACAATCATGCCATACCATATAATGATAATGCGAGTACATATAACAAAGACAGCTAGCTGCCTGCGCATTTTATTTAATTTCTGTATACACTTACAAAGGGTACTCGGCCTACGTTATGGGATGTGTAAAAGGGTATAATGGCACGTCGGGTTGATCAGCTAATAACCGTATGTCCAGTTGTTCTCTGTCAACTCAGCCAATCGTAAACCTAGGCTTCATAGATTGTTCAGATAGTGCCCTTAGACAGTTTATAAGTCAATATTTAATATTATAGTTACATTAGGTCTTTAGTTTACCTTATCTTATAGCTGACATATCATCAGGTCTGCCAGGGTATTGATTGTTCGACGCTCTGCAAAACTATTCTGCCATTCTTGCTTCAATTGAGAACTGCGCTTGTGCCGGAGCACACATTCAGTTACAGATACATTTGGGCACATTCAGATACAATGAATGCGATTGGGATTCAGTTTCGGATTCAATTTCAGTTGTTGCTGTTGTTGGGTTTCTCACAATTAAGCAGACAATTTGTTGCCGCCATTAAACGAGCGCAGGCGAACAAGTAATCAAGGCGCAGACAAAGCCAACAACAACAAATGCTCGAACAACCCAAACAACCCGAATGCTTTGCACAGGCGTATCAAGCAACAACGCAGCATATAGAATGGCTACAAACACACACACGAACACACACGAACACACACACATCTTTCTGCCACACACATAAGCTCAAACTCTCATATGTGGCGCCTTAAGCTCTGTGCTACCCTGTAAAAAAAAAGTTTTCATAAATACATTTAACTTTTAAATGGTACGCAGTTTTTTTATAAAAGTAACTGTTAATAATCGATAACATTTATCGCTAGAGCTTCGTAGCTTTTTGTCGATAACAGTATGCTAAACACATCATTCTTTAAAAGTTACATATCCTCAGATACTTTATTAGCTAACAGTAAGAATTTGTTAACAATCGATAGCATAAATCGATAGATCTTGTCGTCTTACGAGTTTGATTAGAAAGTATTTAACTTCCAATTGGAAGCAATGTTCGTATATATATATTCCCTTTCAGCTTAAATCTTTTTTAAATGAATGCTGCTCCAAATAAATTGTCTAGCTGGTTAGCTAGGTTGTTTAGATATGCTTTTCACGGCACTTTTCGATAAGATTAATCTCTAAAATGGTGTATATATTATAATTTACATTATTGTTTATATATTCGTACATTGCAATAGATATTATTCTTCTGTCTTAGCATGCTTTGGGTATTATAGTTTCTGATCGATAAGGCTTGAGGAGTCGATAGCTTTTTATCGATTCCATTTGTTTACAAAGTGTATTGAATACTTTTAACAGTTATTATCCAGAACTTTTACAAGCTGCTCGCTGTAATCAGTGAAAGATATCTTAAATAATTTTTAATATTCTTGACTGTTTTTCTCTTGTCTTTCTAGTACCATACACTCGAAAGTCGGCGAATAGAAGCGCCAGAGTTTGCAAATTTGGTATGTATCATCTTATTTACAACACCTAACTAAAATTAAAGATAAGTTGGATATACCCTGTAAATATCCAGGAAATCAATGAAAATCAATTTCATAATACCATATATAACAGTCGGATGTGTGCTGGGATTTCTAATTGAAGTGCTTTTCGTTTTATAGAGTATCTTTAAGTCGAATCAAATCGAATCAAAAACTTGAGGCACCATTTTGAGTGTCCCTCCTCGGGCCCCGTCTCAATTGCCAACAGAGATACTTCGTCCCGTCATCGTCTAAATTTGATGCCGAGTGCTTTTTAATTGTCAGCCTCAAGTGATTTTCGAATGTGCGAACTTAATAAATCTTTTTCAATATTATTTGTACCGTTTTGCCGTTTGCTGACGGTTTTGTGTTTTTTAGATTTCGTGTGTCGGTAGATACCGTGTGCTCTGCGCTTTTTGCCCCGTAATTGAACCGAGTCAAGTGACAAGACAAGACAACTTGAGCAGCTTTTGGATATGCATATCGCTTGCTTGAAACAATCAATTTGTTGTATTTATTTCAGTTTTTTCATGCTTTTGTTTTGTTTGCTTTACGCCCTTGGCAATCAATTTACTACAGTTGAGCAGGTGGGCAGGCTGGGAACAGGTGACCAGACTCTAACAGATCTCAGAATAAATGCCTCTAAAGCTTTACTCAATGCATTAGCAGAAATTCGATTGCGGTTTCTGTGATTTCTATCATTTTGAGCAAAGTATTTGATTTTGACATTCCGATTGCGAGTTTTTTGCGCTTTTGGGTCGAAAATTTCGTATAGATATAAGTTCGGGCACTCGGTAATAGGATTATAGGTAATAATAGGGTATACATATATACGCTCATTTAATAATTTGCTGCTTATTCAATTCAATATTTGTATTTGTAGAAATTTATATAAGCATATAGAGATAAATTACGCTAGGTAAGAAAATTCAATATCTTAACTAAGCTACTTTTCTGGATACATACGGAGCCTGCCTTGGATGAGAAAGAATCACTTTCAAATTTATTTATACTCTATTCTTTCTATATTGCATTTTTTCTCTAATTTTTCAAATTAGGTATATTTTTATTTAATTTTTTTCAGAGTTGAGCCTCAATTTTTGGTTAATACTCAATTTTGCATTTATATAACTTTGAATTAACATAATCATGATTTTTGTTATCAAGACTCGTGGAAAGTTCGAAAAGAATATCTTAATTGTTTTTCGCTTCTATTTTTACATAAAGGCTTTAATTAGGCGTCGTTTTAGATATTAGGCATCGTTGAAAGTTCTGCTGGGATATTAGTTAGCTTATTAATAAATTAATTATTTACAA